TACATAATTCAGAAGCATTTAATCTGCGTTATATGTTCTGTAAAAAAAAATGTTCATATCGGCGGCATATTCGCTGATACCGATAGATCTGCAACAGGATAATATCGGCAAAATTATATATCGGTCGGGCTCTAATGCTAACCTCAAAATCTATTAGAATCAATTGAGCTGAGTTTCCCGTGATTACCGCTATTTGTAAGGCGGTAAGTTGTTGCCTAGAACATTTCAAATTGGTCACTTGTTAAATCTCTGTAAGAATGCCTATGTAGGCATGTCTGAATAATTTTTGGTCCCACATTTTTATCAATTTTACTGGTAGTCCACTGTATGACGAATTTTTGGGTATAATATATCACAGTTTACTTATTTTGCTATCCTCACTTACATAATCTATAGTGTCCTGCACCTACTAGTAAAAAAATATAAAAAATTATATCTGGTGTCTGAATAATTTTTGGTTTGACTGTATAAGTCTGAATGTTCCTGCCAAAATTTAATGTAAAGTAGTTTTAGTTTTCCTTCCTTTAAATTATTGTTTAATTTAGAGATGCACAGATAATACATTTTTTTAGCCAATTATTCAGAATGACATAATGTATCTATTTTAGCCAAGGAGGTGATGCCATCTCTCCAGGGTAGGGGCGTATGCTTAGTCACGGTGACGTAATGTGCTCAGTATCCAGGCTGACAGGATGTTGTTTCCATGGTGACAAGGTAATTGGTCTCACCTGGTTGGATGCTCTCCAGGGCATCCCACTCCTCTTGTGCTCGCTCCACCTCCAAGCTCACCTCTAGACAGACAAAATCACACACACACATTGTTGTTGAACTGTTGAACTACTGACATCATTCTGTGTAACATTGTTTCTGAGTGATGAAGTCTTTACCTTCTGTTTTAGTCTGATTGCCTCCTGCTGCCAGAGACTGTAAGAGCCCATTCTGTTTCAGCGCTGAGATCTACCCAACCAAATGTTCACACCATTACCATCGCAATTCAAACCAGGAACACAGAACATCATGTGACTGTGTTGTTGAACTCTTGAACTACTGACATCATTCTGTGTAACAATGTTTCTGAGTGATGAAGTCTTTACCTTCTGTTTTAGTCTGATTGCCTCCTGCTGCCAGAGACTGTAAGAGCCCATTCTGTTTCAGCGCTGAGATCTACCCAACCAAATGTTCACACCATTACCATCGCAATTCAAACCAGGAACACAGAACATCATGTGACTGTAAGTGAAATGCTCACTGGGACAGTTTTGAGATAAGGGTTGCCATTCAAGTTGCCATTGTCTTTGATGCCATTAGCTGGAGTCAGTCCATTTAGGATCTATATAAAAAATACGAAATACATCAACAGGAAGCAACCATGATGCATGCAGATATTCACAAGATCTGGTTTCATTGAACATATTTTAGCAGTGTGTTCTCACAGTTGTGCATTTGGAGTGCCCATTGGTTAGATCCTCTGTCTGTTTACATTCTTGTGGAAAACCATTCAAGCCCTAAAAGGAAGAAATCAAAAATACATATATAATACAGTGTTTCTGCTACATTCATTCTGCCGTGGTGGGCTGCCACATAAAAAATCATCCCCACCACGGCTTCACCTTCTCAGTGACATCATAGTGCCACTCAGTACCGTTGCAAGGGCTGTGCCAAGTGTGCAACCGCACAGGGCCTCGCGCCTCTAGAGGGCCTCGCTCCTGGCCTGCATTTTATGTTGTTTACGTCAAATTTTTATTACCGTTTTTCCACCCATTTTGTCCTTTGAAAGACTAAAATAGTCATAGATGATAGACAGTATAAGACTCTGTGTATAAGAATGAGTAAAGAATTGCATCGGCAATGAATCGCCTGCGATTTTGTGTAGCTTGTCAGTGATCTACGGCTCTGTGTAGTAAATGCCGCTCCATCTGAAAGCACGTGCTGGAGATTTACTACTAATCACCAGAAGCGGCTTTACTGACGAGATGCGCATGAAAATCACATTCGATTTTTTGCACAGCCCTAGTTGTTAGGATGACAAAAAGTTTTAAAAGTTAAACTTTTAGGCTGGTCTGCCTCAGTGGTCCAACAGCACTCGTCAATGTCAAAATTATCGAGAAGGCCAATCAAATCAAGGAAGGCGGGTCTTACTGTCACTGTCACAACGCAGTGTGAACGAGCGTTGTGAGTGTTCGTGGAGAGTTCGTGGAAACATGTAAGTAGTACTTTATTAGAAAACTTTTACGATAGAAATGTTCAGCGACCGACAGTAATAGACTATCTAGTGATGCAAACTAATCAACTTTTATTAAATTTCACCGTTTCGAATTGAAAATATGCGATCATGATTCATGTAAATCATAAATGAACGTGACAAGAGACGTTTGTGTTTTCGACTATTAGACATACGAATAAGAGTGAATGTGCACATTTTAAAAAGAGGAAGATCTAATATTTATATAAATTGCCTTGTGATCTGTTAAGGGAGTAACTAGGATGTTTACTGACATATTCTCTTTTAAAATGCTCCCCAAAACCAGAAAGAAATCTATGTAGGACTGCCTTGTACCATTTTTGTTACTCCATGTATAAGAGCACCGATTAGGATAAATTTCCCTCCCTCCATAATCAAATTATATTTCTGCATAAAAGTCTTTCAAATAGTATTGGATGAACCTGGCTGCTTTGGAGGCCATCTATCAACCATGTAATTTAAGGTAATATTAAAATCCCCTCCAATCAGTAAAAATGCCTGTGGGTGCTTATGAAACCAGAGTAGAATCCTTTCCTCTAACGATTCAAAAAGCTTATCATTTTCAGTATTAAGGTTGTATCCATAAATGTTAACCAAAACAAATACTAAATTATTCCAACACAAATAAATAAATGACTTCCCATTTCCGTTCCAAGAGAAGGTGACGTCGTTTCACAACCCCGCCTCCAGGGTGTTGTGCGCATGCGCAGTAGCGGAAGCGCTGATAAACGCATCGAGTCTGTCTGTTCAGTAGTACCACAGTACAATGACTCCGTAAACTACCGTTAAACAAACATATCTGCCGTGTATTCACAAGTCCGCGTGCTTATATGTGTGTATTATGGCGTGGGGAGTGTGCAGCAGGGCTCTGGTGTGGATTATAACTGCGATCATATGCTGGAGTCACTGCAGCCTGATGGTGAGTTACTGATCCATTACACTAGCTACTCCTGACCATTATAACGCAGGTTAACACAATTATACTAGAGTCAAAGGAGCCTGATGATGAGTCTGAACACTGCCGATCGATTACCGTCCTCCTGATCTCTGATCACTTTGACCTGTGGCGTCTTTTTATTATTAGTCTAGTTTGGGTGCCATTGAATATGTGTAAGGATGAACTGTGTTGACCTGCTATCTGATCTGATCTGAGTGTATGAACAATGAAGACTTTTCAGATATGCACAAAGAGCAAAATATGGCCTACAGAAACAAGCTGTGCTGTTATATATGATGCTGAACTGATCCATGTATGTGGATGATCAATAGTGTCAAGAGTTATCTTAAAGTTATGTCTCGATTGCCCTGTTAGAAATGGGTTTGACCTATCCTATGTTGTACTATGCTGTCCTATCCTAAGTTTTGCCATACTTTTCTGTACTCTGCTGTAGTATTTCATTTTTTAGCAATTAACCAGAGAATCTTTGTCTAAAGCAGGGGTCAACAAACTCGGTCCTGGAGGGCCGGTGTCCTACAGAGTTTAGCTCCAACTCTAATCAAACACCTGAACAAGCTAATCAAGGTCTTACTAGACAGTACCGTCGCAAGGGCTGTGCCAAGTGTGCGACTGCACAGGGCCTCGCACCTCTAGAGGACCTCGCTCCTGGCCTGCATTTTATGTCATTTGTCTAATTTTTATTACTGTTTTTCCACCCATTTTGTCCTTTGAAAGACTAAAATAGTCATAGCTGATAGACAGTATACGACTCTGTGTATGAGAATGTGTGAAGCTGTTTGTTGTTAGGATGACAAAAAGTTTTAAAAGTTAAACTTTTAGGCTGGTCTGCCTCAGTGGTCCAACAGCACTCGTCAATGTCAAAATTATCGAGAAGGCCAATCAAATCAAGGAAGGCGGGTCTTACTGTCACTGTCACAACGCAGTGTGAACGAGCGTTGTGAGTGTTCGTGGAGAGTTCGTGGAAACATGTAAGTAGTACTTTATTAGAAAACTTTTACGATAGAAATGTTCAGCGACCGACAGTAATAGACTATCTAGTGATGCAAACTAATCAACTTTTATTAAATTTCACCGTTTCGAATTGAAAATATGCGATCATGATTCATGTAAATCATAAATGAACGTGACAAGAGACGTTTGTTTTTGACTATTAGACATACGAATAAGAGTTAATGTGCACATTTTAAAATAAAATTTTACTTTCAAATAGTGTAAATTGATTACTATTTCATATGAAGAGTTCAGATGCAAAAGCCTCTAAGTGCCATTTGAAATTTTCTGCTAAAATTAGCATTTTTATCAGG